TCGAACCTGCGGGCTCAGGCAATCCACTCACCCCAGCCTCCCAAAGGCGTGGGATTACAGGCTGAGCCACCAAGCCCGGCTTGTAATGTTTTCAACACTGCTAAAAGGTACTCCTTTTTTTTTTTTGATTCTTACTCTGTTGCCCAGACTGGAGTTCAGAGGCACAGACATGGCTCCGCCTCCCAGGCCTCCACCTCCCAGGCTCAGGCGACGTTTACACCTCAGCCTCCCAAGTAGCTGTGATTACAGGCATGCACTATAATGTCTGGCTAATTTTTTAAAGTTTTGGTCGAGATAAGGTCCCATGATGTTGCCTAGGCTGGTCTCAAACTCCTGGGCTCAAGCAATCCTCCCACCTTGCCCTCCCAAAGCACTAGGAGTATAGGCATGAGCCACCACGCCCAGCCAAAAGTTACTTTTGAAATGTAGAGCAAGCCAGGCTTGGTGGCTCAGCCTGTAATCCCGCGCCTTTGGGAGGCTGAGGTGAGTGGATTGCCGAGCCTGCGGGTTCGAGACCTGCCTAGGCAACTTGGCGAGACCTCATCTCTACAATAAATCAAAAAATTCGCCGGGCGTGGTAGTGCACGCCTGTAGTTCCAGCTACTTGAAAGGCTGAGGCGGAAGGATCGCCGGAGCCCAGCAGGTCGAGGCTGTGGTGGCCGGGAGCGGCCACTGCACTCCAGTCTGGGCGACAGAGTGAGACTCTGACTCAAAAAAAAAAAAAAAAAAAATGTAGAGCAAAAACATTTACTTAATTAATTAGGGTAGTATATGAATGGTCTATTGTAGTCAGTATAAAAACACCAGCAACTATGAACCTTCAAATTATAAATTTAGCAAATATAAGCACCTTCCTGAATTACCTCTAAATTACCTCTAATACTTAAGTATGGTTAGGCACGGTGGCTCACGCCTATAATCCTAGCACTTTGGGAGGCCAAGGTGAGAAGATTGCCTGAGTCCATGGGTTCAAGATCAGCAGGCACAACTTGGCAAGATCTCATCTCTACAATAAATCAAAAAATTAGGCCGGGTGCGGTGGCTCAAGCCTGTAATCTCAGCACTTTGGGAGGTCGAGGCAAGAGGATTGCCTGAGCTCAGGGGCTCGAGACCAGTATGGGCAACTTGGCGAGACCTCATCTCTACAATAAATCAAAAATTAGCCGAGTGTGGTAGCACATGCCTGTAGTTCCAGCTACTTGGAAGGCTGAGGTGGAAGGATCGCCTGAGCCCAGCAGGTCGAGGTTGCAGTAGCCGTGAGCGTGCCACTGCACTCCAGCCTGGGCAACAAAGTGAGACTCCAACTCAAAAAAAGGAAAAATGGAATGCTAATACTAACAAAATAGACAAGTATACGCAAAAACAAAACAAAACAGATATCCACTGGTTATGGTGGCTCACACCTGTAATCCCAACACTTTGGGAAGCAGAGGCAAGTGAACTGCCTGAGCCCAGGGGTTCAAGACCAGCCTGGGAAACTTGGTGAGACCTCATCTCTACAATAAATCAAAAAAATATGCCTGGTGTAATAGCGTTCCTGTAGTTCCAGCTACTTAGAAAGCTGAGGCAGAAGGGTTGTCTGAGGACAGCAAGTCGAGGCTGTGGTTGCCGTGAATTACTTCAGTCTGGGTGACAGAGTGAGACTCCAATTCAAAAAAAAAGAAAAGAAAAACACAAATATACTAAAGGGAGCAATAGGGAAATTATTAAATGAACCAGGATACATTTATATAAATTGAACACTAATTACATATTGGAAATGGTAGAACAGAGGTATATGTATTGACCTGGAAAGACGTTCTTTTTTTTTGTTGGAGTCTCACTCAGTTGCCCAGACTGGAATGCAGTGGCCACTCCCGGCCACCACAGCCTCGACCTGCTGGGCTCCGGCGATCCTTCCACCTCAGCCTTCCAAGGAGCTGGAACTACATGCGCGCGCAACCACACCTGGCTAATTTTTTGATTTATTGTAGAGATGAGGATTCGTCAAGTTGCCCAGGCTGGTCTTGAACCCATGAACTCAAGCAATCCTCTCACCTCAGCCTCCCAAAATGCTGGGATTACAGGCGTGAGCCACTGTGCCCATCAAGACATTCTTATACACTGTCAAATAATTTCAGAGCAGTTTATAAAATGTCAGTCACAATTTTTTTTTTTTTGAGTTGGAGTCTCACTCTGTCGCCCAGACGGGAGTGCAGTGGCCGTTCCCGGCCACCGCAGCCTCGACCTGCTAGGCTCCGGCGATCCTTCCCCTCAGCCTTCCGAGTAGCTGGAACTACAGGCGCGTGCTACCACGCCCGGCTAATTTTTTGATTTATTGTAGAGATGAGGTCTCGCTCCCCAGGCGGGTGTCGAACCTGCGGGCGCAGGCAATCCACTCACCTCAGCCTCCCAAAGGCGTGGGATTACAGGCTGAGCCACCAAGCCTGGCTACAATTTTATTTAAAATATATCATTTACATACCTCATCAACAAGGGTACGTGCATGATCAATGTTTATATGCCTAACCCTGAATTGTACCCCACATCTTTATAATTTAAAAAAAGGAAACAATGAAAAATAAATAAATAAAATATATCATTTTATTTGTATATAAAGTTTTATGTCTCAACATGATATTTAAATGCAAACATAAATGGATCGATAGACATGAAAGTATTGATGTTATTTCTGGGTAGCAAAATTTCAAGTGATTTTAATTTTCTGTTTGTCTATCTGTATTTTTTAATCTTTCTAAATTGAATCTGCATTACTTTTGAGTTAAATAGTAAGAAAAACAATTTTGGAGACTAAAACATTGAAACTGCATTCCAGTTACGGGTTGTACATATGGCTCCTTCTGCAGATGTGATTCAGTCATTTTCACATACCTTTGTCTGATGCTGCTCTTTTTGTGTATTCAAGTATGAGGTGCTCTGGTTCCCATGGCAATATTTTTCCTTTCTTCTTTCCACGTCTTCTTTTAAAGTGATGGGCCAGAAAAGCTACAGATATAGCACTCACTGCAGTTACCACAAACAACTTTTTAGCTATCGGGGAAAATTTGATCTGGAAAAGATGCAGTTAGAGGGAAATAAATCTCTTACTTGTTCTCTTAACGACATAAGAACTAACCTTATTCTTAATCCATCTATTTTCAAATACCATCAAGAGAATAGAATTTCACTCTATCCAATAATAGCTAGCCCAATTTGATTTAAAAAAATTTTTTTTTTCCGTTGGAGTCTCACTCTGTTGCCCAGACTGGAGTACAGTGGCACGCTCACAGCCACCCCAGCTTTGACCTGCTGGGCTCCGGCGATCCTTCCGCCTCAGCCTTCCTAGTGGCCAGAACTATAGGCACATGCAGCCACACCCAGCTAATCTTTCATTTATTGTGGAGACGAGGTCTCACCAAGTTGCCCGGGCTGGTCTTGAACCCTTGGGCTCAAGCAATCCACTTGCCTCAGCCTCCCAAAGTGCTGGGATTACAGGCTGAGCCACCAAGCCTGGCCTAACATTTTTTAATGTAATAATTTACTACCCACTGCTCTGAAGTTCTCAGGTGAACAATATTACCCCAAAGGTTAATAGGAGTACAAAATAATTCAACGCCATTAAAATTTTTTGAGCAATTTATGAATAACTCATGCAACTGAATCTTATGTCTGAACCACAGTAAGATTTTTAATTATAGGAATGATTAAATCAGAATTTTATTATTTCTTTATTTTTTTTTTAGTTGGAGTCTCACTCTGTTGCCCAGGCTGGAGTGCAGTGGCACACTCATGGCCACCCCAATGTCAACGTGCTGAGCTCCAACGATCCTCCCACCTCAGTCTTCCAAGTAGCCAGAACTACAGGAGCACGCTACCACGCTGGCTAGTTTTTTATTTATTGTAGAAATGAGGTCTTGCCAAGTTGCCTGGGTTAGTCTCAAACCCGCGGGCTCAGGCAATCCACTCACCTCTGTTTCCCAAAGTTGCTGGGATTACAAACTGAGCCACCGAGCCCAGCTTAAATCAGAATTTTAAATTGAGGCCTTTTTTTTTAAACAATCTGGAAATTTGAGCAAATTTAAAGTTGAGTCAATTTCTAAATACTGTCTAAATAAACCATTTTACTTATAAATTATTCAACAAATGTTTATTCAGAATCTTGCAAAGAACCAGGACCGTGCTATGAGTTAGTCTTACTGTAACTCTATTTAATGAACACGTAATGAGTATCTATACCGATCAGGAAGCACTGTGTGTACAGAAGTCACAGATCCTGCTTCCCTCAATCAGTCTGCTTACTAGTAAGAGACACATATGAGGCAGGGCGTGGTGGCTCAAGTCTGTAACCCCAGCACTGTGGGAGGCCGAGGTGAGAGGATTGCCTGAGCTCAGGGGTTCAAGACCAGCCTGGACAACTTGGCGAGACCTCATCTCTACAATAAATCAAAAAATAAGCCAGGCGTGGTAGCATATACCTGTAGTTCTGGCTGCTTGTAAGGGTTAGGCAGAGGGATCACCTGAGCCCAGCTGGCCGAGGCTGCAATGGCCGTGAGTGTGCCACTGCACTCCAGGCTGGGCAACAGTGAGACTCCAACACAAAAAAAAAAGAAAAGAGAGACAGATACGTTGCCAAGTAATTACGGAAGCATCTGATAAATATAGCTCCGCAAGCACGAAGTACTAACATCAGGACAAGAAGTGATCGACTTTCTCTTGCGAGGCAAGTACTATCAACTAAGTGCAGAAGAACTCTAAAATAAAGCTCAGGGCATGGGATTAAGAGTTGGAAGGGGCGTCACTTCCAGCCTTCCAAAACCAAAATAAAACCAGACAAGTGTCAAGTGCTCAACTGTTCTTGGCTCCTTCAGAATGCTGCGATCACAGGGCTACCCACGAGCCTGTAAACTAAGGAGACAGTTATTTGCAGGAAGAGCGAAGACATAAGCCTTGGCCAACTGGACATGACGCAGCAGAACATCAGTTAGAAGAGGCCAGCTGACCTGGCTTAAAGCTGGGAGAGACAACGCCCGCTGCTGAGAGATGGGGAAGAGGTATGGCAAACACAAGGGAAAGCCACTCTTTCACACATTTCATCTTCACGAAGCACATCAGACACTCAGAGAAAAGACCGAAAGGGTCCTGAGATCTCCCTACTGGTACAAACTAAGGAGGGAACGAGCAGCTTCTGTGCAGGGCATGAAACGGCTCCAGTGCCCTTATCCTCTAACCCCACCAAAGAAAGCCTTAAACTGTGGGATACAGCTTTTTACTTTGAGAGACATTTACAACATGAAACACTGCTAAAAAAGAAGAAAAACATAAATCAGTTCCCTAAACTTTCAACTTAAGAAACTAGAAAAAACACAAATTCGACCCAAAGCAAGCAAAAGATAGGAAGCGTTGTAAAGAACAAGACAGAAATCGGTGAAATCAATAAAACCACCAGCTAGATTTTGGGAGAAGAAAGTCAACAAAACTGACAAACCTCTAGCCAGTCTCACTGAGAAAAAGAAAAAGAGAGGCAGACACAGTGGCTCATGCCAGTAATCCCAGCACTTTGGGAGGTGGAGGTGAGAGGACTGCCAAAGTCCAGGGGTTCACGACCAACCTGGGCAACTTAGTGAGACCTCGGCTCTACAGTAAATCAAAAAATTAAGCCAGGCACGCTGGCTCATGCCTGTCATCCCAGCACCTTGGGAGGCGAAGGTGAGAGGATAGCCTAGGTCCGTGGGTTCGAGACCAGCCTAGGCAACAAGCTAAGATCTCGTCTCTACAATAAATAAATAAATAAATAGCTGGGCGTGGGGGCGCACACCTGTAGTTCCAGCTACTTGAAAGGCAGAAGGTTCACTTGAGCCTAGCAGGTCAAGGCTGCAGTGGCCATGAGCATGCCACTGCACTCCAGCCTGGGTGACAGAATGAGACTCTGACTCAGAAAAAAAAAAAAAATTAGCTGAGCGTGATGGCATGTACTTGCAGTTCCAGCTACTTGGAAGGCTGAGGTAGAAGGATCACCTGAGACCAGCAGGTAAAGACTGTGGTGGCTATGAGCATGCCACTCCAACTCAAAAAAATTTTAAAGAGTTGATAAAGTTGACTCTAGAACTAAAATCTGCTCTTTGAAAAGTACTATAAAGAGAATGAAAAGACAAGCCACAGACAGAAGAAACAGCTGCAAATTGCATATCTGATACAGGACTTTCCTGTGTCCAGGGCATATAAAGGACCCTCAAACATAGAAAAACCAAAATCCAGCTTTAAAAAGAGCAAAAGTTTTTTTGTTTTTTGGGTTTTTTTTGAGTTGGAGTCTCACTCAGGCGCCCAGACTGGAGTGCAGTAGCCGCTGCCGGCCACCGCAGCCTCAACCTGCTGGGTTCCAGCGATGCTTCTGCCTCAGCCTTCCAAGTAGCCGGAACTACAGGTGTGCACTACCATGCCTGGCTAAATTTTTTGATTTATTGCAGAGATGAGGTCTCGCCAAGTTGCCCAGGCAGGTCTCGAACCTGCGGGCTCAGGCAATCCACTCACCTCGGCCT